TAATGATCATCAAAATGTAACGCCCACGTGTCATTAATACTTTTTTCTTTTGCCGATCGAACAAATTGGCCCATATGTTTATTATAATAAAATACAATAAACACGAACATTAAATCTTTATTTAATTTATTCAACTTGCACTTTTTTATACCAAAGGTTTGATTTATATATTTAATTGGATCATTGATTATATTGAATGAATTAAATATCATAAAAATCAGACTGCTTTCATTTTTATTTGATTCTTCAAGAAAATTTTCATGTGTTTAATCAGCTTCTTTGATGGTATTTTCAATTACATTGTAATTTATCTGTATACTAGTATTTGAAGTATCAAAATGTTCTCCAAATAATTTCTTTAGTTTGAATTGTGGCATTTGGACAAAGGTGTAAATGGTTTTCACATCTAGATACTGGACTAGTACATTGATATTTGGACTTTTGCAATATAGACATTCAAAACGTAATTGCTTATGACCATTAACATCATTACCAATATGTTTAAAATGTTACCAAATTGCACTTTGGCAAATCATGGAAAAACCCCAATTCAATCGAAACATGGTTGCTATAATAAGTACCCGCAAGGCATAAAAAGAACCCGAGAGGAGGCTGAATTAGAAGCCAAAATCAAGCAGTGTCATTTTCCCAGTTTATAGATCAGAAATTTAGTGAATTTAATTCTAAATGCAGAATGCAAAAATTAGAATAACAGGGACTGCCAAGCAGTTCGGTTCAAAGAGTAGACCGAAACGGTGCTTTTAATTTTGACATTAAATCTAGTTTAAATGTATATTGAGGCTCTAATTCTAGGGTTGTAGAAGTCCAAGAGATTGTTAATGGTCCATTCACGAATTTAAGCAATTGAAAACTAGAAAAAGAATTTCCAAAGTCATAAAACCTGTATTATTACAATAATATTCGCCCTTTTGTCAGACATGTGTTACTTGTCAAAAAACCAGCACAGAATAATTCACTTTCTCGATTGAGATAATTAATTAAAAGTTTGAAAGAATGGTGACATTGAAAACCAAGTTGAAAGAAAAGAAGAGGTTTTCTTAAAGGATACTGTCTGTGTATTTGGCTCATTCTTTACTTCAACGACAGTCTAAATTTTCTCCTCTTTAGAACAGAACAAAAGTTGAAAAAATTCCATGGATCTAAAGAAACGGAGAGAAAATGAAGCTAAAGTCAAATCAGAGCAATTAAAAGTAGAGGAAAAGACAAACAAAATACATGTTTGGAGGCTAATTAAAAACCAAGACCTTAAAACTTCTCAATTCGCTCAATCTCTCCAACTTTCTCTTCTCCTCAAACTTTTCAATGTATCTGTTATACTAATATTCTTGCTTATATCTTCAATAGTGTTCATTTTTTATTACTAATTGAAAGATTAACAAGTATATAGTTTTAACCTTTCAATTAATAATAAATAGATCTCATTATGTTTAATTAATATTAATATATGGACTTATATAAGGAAAAAACAGTAAGAGTATGTGGAAACCGAAATGGAAATGAAGCAGAGAAAGAAGAATAATTTAAATCTTTAAAATAAAATAAAAGCAAGGTATCCTTACTTTTGAAATTGAAAAGTGTATTAAATATTTTATCAATTTAGTGTTGGACTAAATTTAGGCCCCTGCAATTTAATGCTGATTTTGTTGCAGTATATTTTTATTATTATATATTATGTGCCAACACTTTTTCTATTGATTCGATTAAAAAAAACTTTCTATAAATAGTTACTTTCGATCAATATCATGTTTAGTTTACCGTTTAAAAGACTCGTTTTTAGAATGAATTTGGAAATCTGGTTAAAATTAAAATTTCCGATTTTTCTTATGATTTGGTGGGTTTGGTGTAACTTCGCTTATAACGAAGCCACATTAAAGTGGCATTCTCTACATTATCTTTTAACTTGTTTAATTACTTGTAAAATTAATTTTCATAGCCACTTTGACAACTCAACTACATTCATTAATCTTTTTTTAAAAAAAAAGAAAAATTCATATATATACAAATATATATACAAAAAAACCAAAAAATCTCCAAATTTAATGGATCTTTCTTTAAAAAAAGCATTGATTGTTTTTTTTTAGAAATCATTCAATTATAGAAATTAAAAAATGACTTGTGTAACAATATGTGAATTGTTTACAGTTTTACGTGAATTTATTATATGTAATAATAAATCAGATTGTACCAACATTATACAGCCTGAAAAATGCTATAGAGAAAAGTTAGATTTATCATCTATTGCAACCACCACAACAATAAATTCAGCAACCTTAACTTCTACAACATCAGTAACATCAATATCAACAACAGTAACTGTTAATTCTTGTAATAATAATTCAAAAATAGATGGCGAATATAAAATTTCATTAATTAAATTACCGACTGAGATCATAATAGAAATTTGTAAAGAAACTTCACCGTATGATTTGTATAGTTTATCAACAACATGCAAGTATTTTCGTAATTTGTTATGGTCGAAATCTGATGCAACACAATTGATTTGGAGAGAATCTAGAAAGAAATTTCTGAAATATCCGGAATTAGATCCACCATTTGGCTTAACCGAACAAAAATACATCTGGCTAACTTTATTAGCAGATAAATGTCAATTTTGTGATGGATCGTATGAAAAATTTTATTACGAGATTTGGCCTTCAATGATTATTTGTTGTGGGAATTGTTTCGGTGAAAAAACTATACAATTATCGTAAGTATATATAAAATGATATTATGTATACATATTAACACATATTTTCATTTAATCAACTAACAACCAACTCTAAAAAATTAAATTAAAATCAAAGAATACGTAACCCACCATCTTCGATTCCAAAAGAAGTATTTTCGCTTATTCCGTCTACAAAGTGTTTTAATCCATCGGTTTTCTATCAAAGATTTTATTGGAAATCTGATATAGAAAATACAATGGAAATTTTAAATGGCTTTGATGATGAAGATCGAAAAATGTCTTGGATAGCTGAGAAAGAGATTGAAATCAGGAATATTTTACATGACATGAAACCTTATCAAAAACAAGAATTTCAACAATTATTTAGTCATGGAATTAAAAATAATAAATAATTGAAATAATTGAAATAA